CCCCTGAACCCCTGCCCCGCCCCCTCGACCCCCCAGTCTCCAACAAAACCCCACCATGACTGGCGCGTCCTTGTCCACCCCGGCCAGGTAGTCTGGCACGTCCTGGTCGCCCTCCCCCACCGGGGTCTCGTTGAACTCCTCCTCGCGCGGCCGCTCCGCCCACTGCGCGCGCGGGGGTGGAAAGCAGTACAAACGCAAGCAGGATGAGGTGCGGGCGGGCGCGGGGTGAGCGGCATGGCGGCCAAAGCTGCATGGCCCGGGGTTGGGGATGGGGAGGGAGCAAGAGGAGGGGCAGGTCCCTTGCGGGGAAGGCCTCGCGCTGCTGAGTCAGCGCCTGCTGACCTGGAAGTGGCCGGCGTCCCACTCGTAGTCGTTGCGGACGTCCAGCACCACCACGCGCTTTGCCTGAGCAGTGAAGGCAGACGGGCGGAAGTCAGGCGGTCGGCTGGTTGGTGGACCATCTAGGGGAGACATGGGCTGAGGGCAGCAAACGAGTGAACGAGGGAAGAGGGCCCGGCAAGGGAGGAGCGTTTGGGGGTGGAGAAGGCGCTGCAATAGGGAGCAGCGTCTTGCAAAGCTGTGGTGCCGCACATTGACCGGGCGCGCGCAGGGGCGTGGTGCCAAGCGCGCCAGGTAAGCAGAGGGCGCCTCGCGGGTCACTCTGGCGGACGCCCAAAGTCCGGGATTTGGGGGCGGGCGGCGCGCCGCCGACGGGGGAGACGGCGGGCGCGCGCCCGCCCGGGCGCCGCGTGCACTTGGGCTTTGGGGGCAAACAAAGCAAGCACAAATTCCGACAGGCGGCGACAGAGATGAAGCCGCACGCCGAGGCGCCGCGATTTGGCGATTAGCCCAGCAGGCAGGGCCGGGGGCGGCCTACCCGAGCCCCATCCCCGCCCATCCGCCCGCGCGCCCCCCCCCCCCAAAAAACGCCTCGCCACCTGTTCCTCCTCCCCGGCCGCGACGCGCCGGTTGACGCTGTCCGCGCGCCGCAGCATCTCTCGCCAGCCGTCGGGGTCGAGCGGCGTCGCGCGTGCGGCGGGGTCTGTGACCGCGAGGCCGTCTACGCCGCCGGCCAGGGAGATGAGGGCGGGCTTCTCCTTGAGGCGCAGCTTGGGGTGCACGTGGCCTGGCGCGGGCCACAGCGAGTACGAGACGCCCTGGGTTTGCGATGGGGGGAAACGGATGGGGGGCAGGGCTGGGACCGGCGTGCTGAGGAGGGCGGCCGGGCGGGCGGCATGGAGGGGGGCGCGGGCGGGCGAGGGCGAGGGCGAGGGCGAGCCGTGCGCCCCACGCAAGTTCAGGATTAACACACACGCACACACACACACACACACACACCACACCACACACGCACGCACGCCGCCGCGCGGCGCGCGCGGCGGCGCCAAAAGCGCCCGTCTCCAGCCCAACAGGACGCGCGCCCTGAAGCTGCACCACGCAGCCGCCCCCCCTCCACGCGCCGCTGCGGCCGCTGGCCGCGTCCCCAAGCCGGCTGTCGCGCGACACAGTGAACTTGTGTTTCTACATGGCGCATACCTTGAATTCGGGCTGCGCCTCGATCCACTCAACATACGCGCGCGCGTCCTGGGTGCTGCCGCCCGCCTGGCAGTTGATGCCGTGGGGTGATATGTAGATGCGGCCGCGAATGTCCTTATCAGCCAGAAATTCCCGCTGCCGCCGCATCATCTGCAAGCTCGAGGTACGTGCGATTGCGGCCGGGGCGGGCCCGTGAGGGTGGACACTTCAAGGCTTCCTTATCGGTGGGGGCCCAGCAGACATGCTCACGCGGCCTGCGGCGGCCGCAGGAGTGCGCCCAACACCGCCCCCCTGCCACTGGCGGACCCCCGCTCGTGCTTCGCCGAACACCGTCCCCGCGCCGCCGCGCGCGCTGCCGCGGGCGGCACCCTTCCGCGGCGGTTGCCGTGGGGCAGGCCGCCCCTCCCGGCTGCCGGCGCGGGCCGCCAGCTGCGTGTGCGGCTCACCTCTGAGGTGTCGGGGATATCGACCAGGTGGTAGAAGTTGATCACTAGGTACGCGGGGTCGGCCCCCTGCTGCTGCGCCTGCTGAGAGGCCTCCCCGTGGCGCAGCCGTTGCTGCTCCTGCTGCTGCTCCTCCCGCTCCTGCTGCTGCTGCTCCTGCAAGGTGCTGGTAGGCGTCCCCTCGCCCGCTGCCGCTGTGCAGCAACAGCGCACTCGTGCCCGCGCATGCGCCACGCATGCTGGCACGTGGGAAAAGGCAGGCGCACATGCCGGGAAGAGCGGGAGGCTCGCGGCCAGCACAGCAGTGGTGGCGGCGCAGCGTTGCGGCGCTTGTCGCAGCGCGGCGGCGGCGGCGACGCGCCGCGTAGCGCCCGCTGCGGGCAAGAGTCCACGCTGAATCAACATTCTCATGGATTGCTGCCTACAACCGCTATATCGCTCTGTTGCTGGTACCGAAGCGCTGCGCGGCACTCAAAACGACCAATGGGCCGCGCAGCGGTCCAAGAATCGCATTCGGCAATCACACAACCATTTTCGCGCTGAAGCCGCCACCCTACAAGGGGCCACTGCGTGCATTCATTTCAACATGCACGTCTCCGGTGCCCCTGTAGTACCCAGTGAACAGCCAGTGAGTTACCTCAAGAGCGATGATGATCCAGAAAATGCATTCTATATGATACTGTGCAGCTCTGCGGCTCGAGTCCATGGGAGGGCGCCGACCACAGAAACGCGGTGCCGGCGTGGCATGCGTCGCATTGGTCTCATAGACTCGGACGTCGATTGCACTGTTTTCTGCCATCCAAGCACCACGGTAGGACTGAAATCATGCATGCATAATGCTTTGCATGTCCTCTCACTCCTGCTGTCTGCACAACAGTGCAGACAGCAAGGGGCTGCCTCGACAATGGGTCAGCACGAGTCAGTTGGACCGTTGCCATCCAAATCACTTAGCAGCGAGCCGTCCAAGATCGTGGTGGGACTTTTACCCTTTGACAGCCGCAGAATGTACCACTTCTTGGGCACCAGAATGCATTTCAAGTTGGTGCAGGGCAGGAAAGGAGCATGCGGGGCGATATTCTGTGCCGACGAGCAGCTACACCAGCCTGCAAAAGTGCTTGTGTGCAGTAGCTGCAGTATATAGAGTTTGTACATCACACCAGCCAAGCATTTGGCACAGCAAGTAGTGATGCGGCCAGCGCGGCTCCCGCAGGCCGCAATGCCCAGGTGACAAATGCTGAGCGCCCAGGTGGCCGGCGCATAATTGCAAGGGCAAGCTGCAGGCGCATGTGGCGACGTGAAGCGCCGCCATGGTCTGCGTCTGCGAGCAAGGAATTCACGAGTTGCATGCATGCAATGCCAGCAGCAGCTGCCATCCCAGTGCTGAATCAACCAAGCCCGTCCCAAGCAAGAAGCAAACCCAGCGCGCGCAGCCGTAAAGCACCAGGTCTGCGCCTGAAGCAGCAGGCAGCCCCGCAAATATGAGGCGGGCTGCAATTCCCCAAAACACTCTTGCCTCGCCGCGATTCACCAAAACGCCCTTGTGGGCGGCCCGCCCCAGGAGCATCGGCAGGGCCGTGCGTGCAGCACTGGGGACTCAGCCTGAGGCTTGCGCTGCCGCCTGCTTCCTGTGTGAGCATTCACTGAATCCGATGGCTTTGGAGCAGGAGATGCCCGTGCAGGCCGTGAGGGACACGGGATTGCACGTGACGGCGCATGCCGGCAGCTGGGGTGGTTGGAGATGGAAGGGAGCGGGTAGGAGGAGGTTAAGCGCAACAGCCGAGTCGAAGAGATCATGACGCAACGCAGTGGCTCCATCTGCACGCACCTGGATACGTGCGCATGTGCCTGCACCCGCTTCACAGAAGCATGGGCGCGATCCGCCCGCCACCATGGCCCCTGTGCCGCCGGCCCTACCGTGTGGCGCAGTTGCCGCACCTGGTAGAAGATCGCCAAGCTCCCCGCCTTGGTGTCGGACCCGACGGCGCGGTAAGCCCGCTCTGTGCATGCTGCATCCGCAATGCACTTCTTATCCAGCATCATCGCTTTGAAAAACGCGACCCACGCGTTGAGGCTGCGGGTGAGGGGCTTGAACGCGGCGACCTGCGCCGGCGACACGACGCAGGGGCCGCCGCCGGAAGCCGCCGCGGTGACGTCTTTCAGGACGTTGGTCGTGAACTCCGCGCTGGGGTGAGCAGCGGGCGGTGTGGGCGCGAGGTGATGTTTTCAATGGCCGCGCGTCGGCACGGAACAATGAGCTCGTAATAATCGGCGCGCAGCACCGTACAAACGGCTCCTGCCAGGTGGCTGCCTGCCCATGGCAGGTCGAAAGGAGCGCGCCTCACCAGGCCTCCGGCCCAATCTTGTGGCAGTGGGCTGAGAACAGGTCAGCAAAGGCTGCCTTGGCGGCCGCGCTGCCGGGCGCAGCCGATTGGCAGGCCGCATGCGGGAGGGCAGCAGCGGCCAGCAGCACCGTCGCGAGCGCGAGGGCGTGCATGGGTGTTTTCTGCATTGCCACGCGCCTGCGGCAAGGGGGCGCAATGGATGGGGTCAACGATGTGGCACGGCGCAGCGCGAAGTGGCAGGCTGCGATGCCTTTTGGCAGTGCGGCGGCAATAATGTCGTCTGAAGCATCTTCGCAGAGGTTCTATCGGTCTCCTGGCCTTGCTCACCGGTGCGACCTGACAACAAAGGGGCAGCCGGCGCCTCCCGGCCTAGGCAGAGGTACGCGAAGTGAGCTCTCAAATTGCAGGCAAAAATAATAGCGGACGAAACCATTGCTGGAATGCGAGCTGCGGCAACAGATGCCAGCCAGCGATCTCATTTGTCTTGGGGCACCCGGCACCCTGCACACCGACGCACCACGCATGCCTGTACTCCTTGCACACCCCCACCCAGCTTGACAAGACAAGTGCATCAGGTCAGCTGCCGCTGCACCAACGCCGTGCTCATCCATTCACTTGATAGTTTGCTGTGCTTCACATGACCTGAAGCCTGCAAGATCAATCGACAGCCTTGACTACCCCGGTGCTGCTGCGTTGGCATGGCAACCCTGCACTGACTATACAAATGGCAGACACTTACAGGTGCAACACGCTGGCAGCTGCAAGGCAGGAGGGCTGGGCAGAAGAGAGGGAGATGAGCGCCCCTCAAACCTGACAAAGGCATGTCGGGTGACGTCAACCAGCACACCAGTCCCCAGGGGTAGATGCGTGTGAGGTGACGCTGGCGCTGGGCCTAACCGCGCGTATCAGTCACCGCGCGTATCAGTCGTCCATACGCGCGGGGCTGCCGCTGCTTCCGCGGCGGCGGCCGCGACCCCTGTCCCCGTCGCCGCCGTCGCCACCGGCGACGTGCGCAGCAGCCCGGCCCTCGTCAGCGGGCGAGCGGTCGCGGTCGGTGTGCCTGCGAGACGGATGGGCGGCCAGGGGAAGGGGGGGTGATGTTGGTTGCCCCAGGCGGTGTTGATTGCGGGACCACGCGCACTCAACAGATGTTACTGCGCCGGCCTGGCACCACGCACACCTAGCCCTCAGCGAGGCGGTTCCATCAGCCGGGTCAGCGGCTCGTGATCCGAGTGCCCGACAGCCGTTCAGCCCCAGGCACACACCTGTGCGGGCTGCGCCCCTCAGGGCTGGCCCGGCGCGGCCCATCGCCGCGCGGCTCCGGCGACCGACCGCGACCGCCGCTCAGGCTCCTGTCACGGCCGCGCGGCTCCGCGCCGCGGGGCGGCGGGCTCCTCTCGCGGCTGCGTGGGGGCGGGCTGCGGCCGCGGCGGTCGCGCCCGCCGTCGCGGCTGCGGCTCCGGCTGCGGCTGCGGCGACCGTAGTCCCTGCCGCCGCCCCCACGGTCACGCCTGTCGTAATCGCGGTCTCTGTCCCGCCTGTCATAGTCTCGGCCGCCGCCGCCGCCGCGGTCGCGGTCATAATCACGACCGCCGCCGCGGTCATAGTCACGCCCGCGGTCGTAGTCGCGGCCGCGATCGTAATCCCGGCCGCTGCCGCCGCCTCCACCGCCGCGCGAGCCTGCAGAGTTGGTCAAGCAGCCACCTTTGGCGGGCGACCAAGCGGCAGCGCAGGACAGCCCACGATAGCCAGCAAGAGCGAGCGCACGTTGTGGTGACCTCACCGCCCCGGCAAGACTTCCCTTCCTCTTGCACCAGCACCAAGAGGGGTTTTTGCTGTCCCCACTCAACAAGTGCCGCGCCCCTTGCGGCACTGAGCCCCGCGCCCACCCCCGCCCTGCCCCCGCACCGTAGCCGCCGCCGCCGCCCCTGGAGCCCTCCCCGCCCTGCTTTTCCAGGTCAAGCATCTCCCTGGGCGTCTTGCGCGACTGCTTAGAGCGCACCACCTGCGGCGGGCCCCAAGGTGGCGCCAGGCGAGGGAAATGAGCACGGGTCAGAGGACGGTGCAACGCATCATCAACAAAAGACAGGGGAGCGGGCTGATGAAGCGAGGTCTGGTCGGAGTGGAAGGGCGGGGGCAAAGGCAAGCCATCGCAGGGGCCGGAGCGTGGCTGCGGTCCATGTCGGTGCAAGGAGTGCCCGTGGGGAACCAGGCCGAGGGTCCCGAGCGCGCGGTGCAGCCCGGCCGCACCTCAACGCGGCGGCCGCCGACAACCGTGCCGTCCAGGTCGCGGATCGCCTCCTCAGCGTCGCGGGGGTCTGTGAACTCGATAAACCCAAACCCCTTGGGGCGCCTGTCGAGGAGTTGGGGAGGCAGGGGGGTGTCAAGGGAGCGTCGCAGATCGAGCACGGGCCCGGGCGGAGCGGCGGAGGCTCACGCCACGCTCGTGCAACAGCCAGATTAGGCGAGCGCTGTGGCCGCTGGCGTTGTCGGCGTAGGCGCAGGATGCACAACGCACCGGACGTCGCGCGGGCAGCCCCGAGCAGGTTGCGAGCGGGCAGATGGCTGGGGTGCAATCGCGGGCTCTGGAGCTCGGGCAGGAGGACGCCGCGCTTGGCCCCTCAGCAAGCTTGGCACCACTTTGAGGCGGCCTTGGCTTGCACTCTCTCTTGCACCTCCGTCTCTCTTGCTGGCACGCGCGCACTCCTCTTGGGCCGGCACTTGGGCTCTTGAGCCCTCTCGCCCCGCTCGCGTGTGCTGGGCCCTTTGAACGATCCGCCTGGGCCGTTGCTCTTGCGCTTGCGCGGGCGCGACACTCGTGCTTGCTTGTGCCCCTTGATGGATCGGTGCGCGCGTGATCTTGCACTCCGAATGGCTGGGACGGGCATCTTGAGGGTTGCGTGACCGGCAGCGTCCTGCCATCGCCAAGTCGTCACTGGGACTCACTGGTTGTAGTAGTCTCTGGGCAGATAGACGTCTTTGACCTCCCCAAACTTCTCAAACATGTGGCGCACGTCCTCCGGCCTGTGCGACGCAGCACAGCCAGCAGGTGCAGATGGGTGCCAAGCACAGGCGTGCATGCGAGGTTGACCAACACTTGCATGCCGCAGGCATCACAGTGTTGGGCAGTCAGAGCCATGCGCAATGGCGCCAGGCCACGGCATACGGCGCTGGCCCAGCAGAGCAGGCGGTGCGGTGCAACAACAGCACCAGCGTCAACACCGTCGACAACAGCGGCCGCAACGCCGCTCCTTAGCCCTTCATAAACATCAATATAACTGCTTTGCGCCCCAGAGTGGCCCAACAGTCCCCCGAGCAGCTAAAGCAGACGGTCAGATCACAGCTCACCGCACGTCCAGCGGCAGGTTCCTGATGAGCAGCGAAACGCCGTCGGGTCTGTAAGCCCCCCTGGACTCGCGTCCTCCCTCACCACCGCGCCCGTCACGCTCGCGGGACATCGCGGCTAAGCTTGTCAGGAGTGCGTATGTTTCCACTTGTGTTTGATTTTCTAAACAATACTCGAAATGTTGGCAAGGGAAGCACCACACATGCGCTGTGCAGGTGCAGCAGGGTGCTTGCCTGCGAGTTGCCTGCTCTGAAGCTGCTCCCTCGGCGCAGCAGCAGGCTGCTGCACTTCAAAACACGCCGGCCACAGGCCACACAATCTCCATTGAGTTCCACGTGGGCAGCAAGTGCATGGGCACGGTGAGTGCAAGGGCACTCTGCCGTAAAGACTACTGCATGGCGGCCTTGCTGACCACTCTCCATCTGACTGACCAGCCAGAGCCGGGGGTTTCGAAGCCACAACATGCACCCCTTAATCCCTCAATTAATTGCGCCGACGGCCTCACTTTTAGCTGCAACAGAGACCCACAACATGTGGCAATTCCGTGGGCACAATGCACTGCGGTAGTTGTTGCAGCCAGGTGGTACACTAACTCATTAACCCTGACAAAAGAGCAGGCTGCAGCGTGCTGGATGCCGCAACAAACCCCGCCTCGGTGCCTTCGATCCAAGTGGTCCATCGTTTCATCATCTTCTGCCTTGTGCCAAGCCAGCGCACAGGATCTCTGCGGATGCGTGAGGCACCGATGGAGAGTCGGATTTTTTGACTGCACGTGGACTGCAACAGCAGGGGTTCTTGAGAACTTGCTTCAACACGTCAAAGGCAGCTGCCAACCACAGCTGCATGACAGCATGGGCGCACAATGTGTCGCACTGGTTGCGCTTGACTTGGAAGGCAATCGGGCAGGCCTGCGTGCGCCCGAACCGATAGGGCGGGCACCCGCCTCTTTGGCCTCCGGCAATGCACACCAGCACGCGTAGACCAAGCCATAGTCGATTTTTATTTGTTGATAGTTCGGAGGAAAGCAACATCACGGCACCCACACGGGCCTGATGTCGGGACACGGCGAGGAGGATCCCCTCGCGGGCAAGACGAGGTCGGGCAGGCCTCCCGGGGGGGAGCAAAGATCGGGATCTGCTGCTTCCCGCTACCAGAAGACCATTGGTGCGCGCGCAGGGGCACACCTGGGCCGAAAGGCGGTGCGGTTGCTGGCGCGCTGCTCGTGCTGCAGCCCTCTAACGATGTATGCGTAATCCCTTCCCAATCACAGGATCACACATGCATGCAGCAACATGATTGTCTGCACACTGTGATCCACACACATTCAGTGTCGCCGTGGCGCATGTGCATTCGTGCACATGCCCACAAACACATGGGCGCACAAGTCTGCTTGCACCCGCACGCGCGAGCACACGCAGGGTCGGACGCACGCACGCACGCGCACACACACGCACACATACACACACACACACACACACACACACTTCACCGCACTCGCGCGACCCGCCTGCCCCCTGCCGCAGCCGCCCTCCAGCAGCAGCTCAAACAAGTCGAGCGCCGCGTCGCTGTTGAGTCCGAGGTCAACGCGCTCGAGCGCGCCAGGGAGCTGGTGATCCAGGGCCTCTGCCTGTCATGGGAGGCCCTCAACCTGCTGTCATCCCCCTCCCACGTCGACGACGGCGACGGCGCCAGGGCCGCCGAGGCCGCGCTGGCGCGGCTGGACGAGTTTGCGGCGCAGGTGCAGGCGGGGCTGGCGGCGGCCGCGCCGGCCCTGGCGGGTGGCGGCGCCGGCGGGAGCGGCGGCAGTGGCAGCGGCGGCAGAGTGGTTCCGCCTGGGGCGTGGCGAGGCAAGCCGCTGCATTACCCTGAGCAGGGAGGGGGGATGGGCGTGGCGCCGTCAACGTACGCTGCTAGGTGGGTGGTGCGATAAGGCATGGGTGCTAAGATGATGTGCGGCTGTCATGATCGCAACCATTGCTGCTTGGAAACGCGGCTGCTGCTGCTGCTGCTGGGGCTGCAGAATCCCCCATAAACCAATGCTCCTAAAGTGGTCCACGCGCTGCTTTCGTCGCACCCTTGCGTTGCGGCTGGGCAGCATCCTGGCCGGCCGTGGCCAGTTCCGGGACAAGGCCACTTTCTTAACTTGGTGGAAGACCAACCTGGCCGACCTGTCGACGCTGCTGTTCAAGGTGGAGGGCGGCCAGCCCTGCAGGGAGGAGATGATGCAGGTCAGGGACGTGCGCGGGTACTCAGGGCCGCTTGCGTGTGCCTTTGAGTGCACGCGCCTGAGTATGCATGCGTGCGTGTGCGCGCGCACGCGTGTGTGTGTGTGTGTGTGTGTGTGTGTGTGTGTGTGTGTGTGTGTGTGTGTGTGTGTGTGCGCGCGTGCACGTGCGTGCGTGTCCACACGTAGCAAGCTGTGCTACGAGAACTGCCTAGTATGCCCGCTGCTTGCAATCCTTGGTAGTTTGTGTTCAAGGCGGGTAAACTCAACCTGCTGCTTGCTCCCCACCCCGCTGCGTGGCCCTACGCGGCGGTGCAGCTGCTGCTGCGCATGAACACCGTCTACGCTTCCACCCTGCTTACAGAGTGAGCATGTCAAAGGGTGGTTGTGCCATCGCCGTTTGGAGCTCTTGCTTATGCAATTGCATGCCCATGCATGGCCCCATACGCTTGCGTGCAAGCACCAGGCAAGCCACATCACAAGCGCCGCTTGTCCCAACACATCCTCCCAACCGCGAAGGGTATGGTTGTCTGAGCTGATGCGGCTCAACATGGACACCAACGAGGTCGGGGAGCCACCCCAAGAGGTGTGGGTGAAGGCAGCCGAGTGCATGGCCCTCACACCTGACCAGGTGCGCATACGGTGCACGCCGTGCTTTACCTGCGAGCAGCCCTGGTGCAGCGACAGGCCGCAGCGTGGCCGCTGCCACCCAGCGAGCCAGCTCGCATGTTGTCCCCCCTGGACGTCGGTGTGGATGTGGGTCCCCGCCTGCTGCAGTTCCGCTGCACACGCCTTGCCTTAAACGGCTCTTCTTGATGCAACCATGCACATCGCGCCACGCAACGTGCGATACATGCTCGCCTCATGCATTCGCCGCCAACCGTCTCTGCTAGCCACATCGTTCTTGACGTCCTGGCCTTCATTGCTGTGCCCCGCCCCCGCCTCCTGCCCCCAGGCGATCCTGTACTCAGTCATAAACGACTGGTGGAAGGCCGAGGGCGTGCGGCTGCGCTGCCGGCCGACCGAGGTCGTGGCGGACGCGCTGGCGCAGCCCTACGACCTGTGCGCCCAAGAGGAGGCTGTCCTGGAGGTGCAGACTGTCATGTCGAGGTGCGGGGCGCTCGACTGCGCAGCGCAGCATGGCTGCGCATGGATCAAGCTCGAGCGGCGCGGTTGATTGCAGCACCGTTGGCAGCTCCGAGTTGAAGAAACTTCCTTTTTGCCCCGCATGAGGGTGGCTCTCCGTGGCCCCAGTGTATCATCTTGCCCAACTCAAGGTATGGGCCCTTCCCCTGCATCAACTGCTTGCGGTCGCGCGCTTCAAAGGTACCGCGTCTCGGCCGTCACGGCCATGCTGTTCCTGTGCACCGCCATCCTGACACCCGAGCAGCTGGCCAACCTGCACGTTTCCTGCTACCCCTACTTTCCCGTGATGGACGCCCTCGTCGACGCGCTGAAGCGGCGGCGACCGGGGGACGCCGCGGCGTGACCTTATCATCAAATGGGATGCGAGAGCGGCGGACGAGGCAGATGCTTTTGCAGATTGAACATGACCAGACCGCAGCCTCGTGACAAACAGTCTCACCGCTGTTTGCTGTGTGCTGTTGCAGGATGCGCTGTGTAGGGTGTGGTGGCACACGTTTTTGACGATTGGTCATTACTGGCACAAGATGAAGCGAGCGTGGTACGTACTGCGTCCGTCAATTCCAAGACTCCCTGTGGCCTCCCCTTTTGGCAGTGCCGCTGCCGCTGCACGCGACTGCACCCGTGGTGCGTGCATTTGGCAGTACACCCCTGGGAGTCCTTCGTGCTCTGTCGGATGCGTGGTGAGCACACGTCAGCAGCAAATTTTGTTTGGACGCGCAAAATGAGGGCGGCAACTCTGCCTGGTCCCGCCAGCGTATTACGTCTGTTTTTGCGTTGTACAGGGCCTGGCAGTGGCCGAAGCCTAGCAGACCCGCAGGTGCGCTTGCCAACCAAAGTCGCACTTTTTACTGGCTGACTGGGTCAATCTTAGCACACTCCTCACCGGCTCTTGCATCGGCCGTGTAAGCCCTACACGTCTGCCCTACGTGAACGATTTTTGTTGTCGCACCCGCTGCGGAGGGTCTTTCGCTCCGCCCACGTTGTGCGCCGGTTCACCGTGTTTGCTCTGGGTTCAATACGCAATACGCAGACGCACACAGCCTCTTTGTCTTCTCTCAGGTCCTGGCCTCAAATTGCAAGCACCCATCTGGGATGCTTGACATCACCTCTCTTGCACTGCACTGGCGGCCAAGCCCCCCATTGCGCCCTTACCGCTGTGCCATAAATGCCAACGGGCGGTTTAGGCACATGAACGAGAGCATTGTTAGGGGCTCAGAATCACCTTTGTGGTCAGTAAGAGGGGCAGAGCCCTCCCCTCCCCGGCCCCCGTTCTCAAGCCACAGCCTAGAGGTGCAGCTTGTGCACCGGAAGTGACGGCTGTGTGGAGCGTGTTCGTGGGTTCGCCCGCCTGGCCGCCTGTGCAGCAACCTGTCGAGATGGGATGCACGGCCTGGAAGTGCTGTCATTACATTCGGCCATTCCCAATTGGCCTTTTGCCAGGTGCTCTTCATGTCAAGAAACCATTCTATGATTTTATTTCGCTGAAGCCCGTCTGCAGCGCATTCTGCGCTCGTGGGTGCTAAGACACTAGTTTTGGCCACTACAAGCGGATTCAAGTTCAGAACACTTTTCCGTGCACAGGTTTAGCCAAGGGCCATGTGGCCTTGGGACACGGCCACAGCGCTTTTGGCAGGAGTAATTATGGCATGCGCCTGCAACCAACAAAGTGGACCAGGCTACTGTCTGTTTGCTACTAGCAATGCTGTTCTCGTTGCCGCGGCGGGTTGCTCCCAGACCAGGGCTGGCTTTGGAGGCACAGTTGGTGTGGCTGGCTCAACGCTGCTGGCAGTGCAGCTTTGGCATGCAATAAACCGCCCCACACATGTTATCCGCGCCCCCCGCTGGCC